GAAGCTCAGTGGAGTGCAAAAGCAAGTAAGTTTTTGATCCAGTTTGGAAAAAATAACATGAGTAATTTAAACTGTTATCTGTTCACAAATTAGTCACATTATTTCTTCTTTCCTACTGAGATCTGCAAAAAAACCCAAGTATAATAGTCATCTGGGGGCATTTTCATGAGTTTTTACAACTCTTCTTCACTTTGAAATGGATCTTAGCATTTAAAAGCTCAGTCACCACCACATATTTTACATGTTCCAGTAAACATCCCTTTGCGTGGTTTGTCAGTTCTGACAGTGCTAAGTTACACAATCTCTTGCATGTTTTAAGCTCTTGAGAAACAGAATTTATACTTTTTTTTTAAGAAACAATATCTTATTCTGGGTTGTAATTCAGGCCTTTGCATTGTTAAAAGAGAAAGAAGTAATGACCAAATTAACATTTGAAAATGGGCTGCTGTGCAGTAACTTTTCACATACTATCTTTGTAAAGAGATCTGTAATCATTGACACTGTAGTCATTCTGCCTGCGTTGGCAGAAGCCAGAGCATGTGGTGGACATGTTCAGCTCATGGATATGGCAGAGCGCCTTATGTTGTGCAACAGAAATACAGCTGATCAGACAAGAACAGTGCCTGGCGTCACTGAAAACCCTGCTGAGATTTTGCTTGGTAGGTTGTAGCTATCGTGTGCACCCTCATTAATGAAAAGCAAATGAAGATGGTTCTAACAGGGATACATGTGGAATCCTGTTTCTTGGTATAGTTTAGAAAAAGTCAGATAAATGTTCTCTGATAAACAGTTCATCTATGATGGACAGCAACAACTCTGAGTCTAATTTGGTCATTTTCTAGGAGGGTGCACTTAAATACAGAAGTGTGGTACAGCCATTTAATGGAATTACAAGTTTTAAAACAACAAACGTACTGAAAGGTCTGGATCGGTGGGTTGTGATGGGAATGTGAGGTGTCAGTAGAAACCTTTTTTCTGAAGTATATCACTGTGTCTGCTCAGAAAGGGCTTGGCATTCAGAGACCATCACAGTACTCTTAAAATCCAAACCAGAGCTATGTCAGCCGTGAGCAGTACTGCTGAGTTCAGTGCAGAATGAAAGTGGATATGTTACATGTTCCTTTCAAGCCCAGATACTGCCTTAGCAATATTTCAAGCATTTTAATGCCTCGGTTTCTATGAAATTGCACATATGTTTGGCCAGTAAAAATAATGTTTTACCATTCACTGCCTTCAGTAGTGCTTGGGAAAACATAAATAGGGAGAGTATTCTTGTACAGGTTTTCACTCTATAATTCAACTTTGACCTTTCTTTCTCACAATTGTTGATATATGAGCTGCATATTTTTGTGTGTTTTAGATCCTAATCTGTGGAAGACAGACAGTCTGTAGCTACCTTTCCGAAAGTATTGAACTGAAAGTGGTTCAGCATTACATTAGTCAGGATGGACAGGCTGTTGTTAAAGAGCACATGAACTGCCTTGCAGCCAAGCAGAAGTTACCTTCATACGTCCTAGAAAACAATGAGCTCACCGAGCTGAGTGTGAAAGCTACGGGAGATGAAGACTGGTCCCAAGATGTATGTCTCAGTTCTAAACATACAGAACACAGCACAGTCATTCAGGTATGACTAGAAATAGTTATATGGAATATAACATTAAAAATGTCTGAGAAAACTGGGGACTTTGTGTTTAGACTTCTATTTGGTATGATGAAATGTTGAACATTATCATCCTGAAATAATTTTAGTGTAATGCTGCTGATCTCTCTGCATACAGGTACCATCTTCAAAGAGTTCAGTTACATATGTGTGGTGCACAATTTTGACTTTAGAGCCCAACTCTCATGTGCAGCAACGATTAGTAAGTACATTTAATGTCTCCAAAATCTAAATGTTTATGCATTACATGTCATATAATAAATTAAGGGCAGAATTACTCACTTTAAAGATTTATTAATATCTTGTTTCAACAGTTGCAATACTGGAGTAAAATTGGCCTTAAATTGGTATATTCTTTTCTTTTTGTAGATTGTTTTCAGTCCTCTTTTCATTGTAAGGAGCCATCTTCCAGACCCAATTATCATACATTTAGAGAAAAGAAGTCTGGGACTGAATGAAACGCAAGTGATTCCAGGGAAAGGACAGGAGAAAGAACTCCAAAATATAGAGCCTGATCTTACACACCACCTGACATTTCAAGCCAGGTAAAGTACTCGCTTTGAAAATGGTTCATTTGTATGGAAAAGAAAGAATAATTTACACTTTAACTTCTGGTGCATTTTTTCCAAGAATATGGCATATGCAGAGGAGATACAACAGAACAAGCATATGTGGCCTGAAACTATATGATAGCAAATACTAAATTTGGTATAACTGTTCTAAGCGTATTGGCATTTGTATTGCAGGCTTAAGTAGTCCATGGTTTTGTGTTTTGAAAAATAAATTCCTAAATGGTCTTGAAATGTTTTTTGAGAATACTGAAGAGTTTCTAGGGTCTCAGACACAAAGGTCATTACGGTGTCATAACAAATTCATGCATGTCAGTTAATGCTCAGGAACTTGTTAGACATTGTAACTTGATTCATTCGTGATTACATTGAGAACGTTCCTACTGCAGAGTACACTTGGAAAGCTTAATTAAAGAAAATGTTAGTGCTACTAATGCTTGATCTTGTTGTGTAAGTGACTGAATCTGTTTTCAATGACAGGGAGGAAGATGATCCATCAGAGTGCGCAGTGCCTATATCAACCACACTAATTAAACAGATAGCGACTAAATCTCATCCAGGTGGCAATGTCAACCAAATACTGTCCGAGTTCTATGGCACCGGTAATCCTCCCCAGCCTGCATGGCCATATAATAGGAAAGATTCAGACAGGTAATTCTTCACTAAACCTTCTTCGTGGTTGTTGATCTGCCTTTTCAAATAAACTGAAATCACATTCAGGAAGACTATATGTGATCAATGTTGAATATTTTTCAGTTATTACATGATTCCTGTATGTAAGCTGGAGAATCTGTTGCAGATGGGAAAAAAATGGGGTCAGCCCTTGATTACACCGAGAACATTGCATCAGCAAGGATTAAAAAAATTGAATTATTTTTTTGTGAATGCAACTTCTTTACTGCAGCTCTAGAGGCTGTTGTTTATTCAGTAGCTCTTTATTTCAGTACAGAAACAGGGAGTTGCTGAAAGAGGAGCTGCTGAAAAAAAATGGAAAAGTGATTTTATGCCTACAAAAGTCACAGGTTTAGTTCTGAAGGATAGTGGTAGTTCTGTTAAGGTGTTTCTTTAATTGACCAAATTTAGATTGAGTTTATGCAGTTAAAAATATGTCTTTATAGCCTATGTGTGGCTAGATCTGTCTGACAGCATCACAGTGTGTTCCAGAATGATAATGTAAGAGGAGATTGTTTTTCTGTTTCAAAACCAGAAAATCCTTGCAAATTTCTAAAAAATGGCACCTTATCATTTGTAATCTTGAATTCATTATTCCTTTGACTTTATCTTTTTGTTTATTTGTTGTTGAACAGCAATGAACAACTCTCCCAATGGGACAGCCCAATGCGGGTGAAGCTGTCGGTGTGGAAACCATGTGTTAAAACTCTGCTGATAGACCTCCTGCCCTGGGCTTTGCTTATCAATCAGTCCAAGTGGGATCTCTGGCTGTTTGAAGGAGAGAAGATCGTTCTTCAAGTACCTACTGGGAAAGTAATTATACCTCCCAACTTCGAGGTAACTTTGCCATTCACATTAACAACCACAGTTGTGCTAAACATTCTGATTCTGAAGAATGGTTATTAATCCAGATGATTCCCACTTTCCAGTCACTGTGTATATTTAGTCATATGATGAGGAGTAGAAATAACCGTTGAAATTTGCCACACTGACTGAGCCGCCGAATGGGCAGCACAACATACTTGATAACAATGTTTGAAGAACAACTATGCTTGAAGATGTTTGAAGAACAACTATGCTTGAAGATGCCCACATGCCATCTGATTCAGCAGCCTTCTCGCCTTCCTCCCAATTCAGCCAGTGAATCTGCAATGTGGGCAGAATGTAGCAGCCCACATAAATTACTATAAAGGCCAAGTGTAGACTTTGGCCCCTGCTATGCCAACCTGTCACTTGGGAAGTGTGTTGACAAAGCTGACAGCCTGGAAGGAGTGTTTGGTTCGAGAGTGGTTTAGATCGAGTTGTTTCGTTACTTGTATGCTGTCAAGAAAGGTTTGATAATGACACAGGGTTACTTACAAATGAGGAAGATTCTTTAGGATGGCTGCCTTCCTGAAATCAGAGTTTTGTGTAATGGGTTTTCTCACATACCTTAGCTTGGCCATGCACGTGCTTTTTTATTATGATCCCAATATTCTTTATTTTTGAAAGAATCGAAGTAATTTGAAACAGTCACTTGTCAGTTCCAGTTGGACAATCTGATACTTCCTGTTTATTTTGCCATGGTTTTTTTCCCCGTGTATGTCTTTGAATAAACAAAAGGTCTGCTTATAAACACGTGTCAGTGTAGACTGGTCTTGATTCGACTGTGAGGATCAGTCCCATATCCACATTGTGGTTTCATCTATCCTTATATCACATAGAGAGAATCAGAGGGAGAAAAGGAGAAAGTGAGATGGACTTCACACCGTAAACTACATTTAACTCTAGTAGAAGTGAATTGAATTGTCAACAAGTGATAATTGGTCATTTTTCACTTGCAGGAAGCTTTTCAGGTTGGAATATACTGGGCAAACACTAATACTGTGCACAAGTCAGTGGCAATTAAACTGGTTCATAATGTGACCTCCCCGAAATGGAAGGATGCCGATAATGGGGAAGTAGTAACGTTGGACGAAGAAGGTTTTGTTGAAGCTGAAATAAAACTTGGTGCTTTTCCAGGTCATCAAAAGGTTAGAAGAAAATCATCATGATTTATAATTTTATCATTTAAAACCAAAGTCATATAGCAGATGAAAACAATGAAATGTATGCCATGTCAAAGCTCCTCCTAATTATGTTAATATATGTAAAACATAATGAGAGTATAAACAACATATGAAGTATAATTTACAGAATTAGGTGGCCAAAAACATTCTGCCCTGCTCACCAAGATAATACAGTATCTCCTGGAAAAAGAATTAATGAATTCTCAATCGTGTTTGGAAAACATCGACAGATGCAACTTGAAAAGTATGTGATGTGGCTGCAGTTATGAACTGCACAAATATAGACAGGATTTCCACAGTTAAAAAGAAAATGGCAGTTCTGACACTATATTCACTACCATTTGTGGTTTTGTGTGTGACATCATTGTTTTCATTATCTTACAGTTGTGTCAATTCTGCGTTTCTTCAATGGTTCGACAAGGGATACAAATTCTACAGATAGAAGATAAGACAACAATAATCAATGATACATCATACCAAATCTATTATAGGCCACAGCTTTCTATTTCCAAACCCCACTCAGGAGGAGAGGTAAAGTACTATGGATACTATTTTTGTTTGTCATCTGCAGTACATGGGTGTTTAAATTTGTATGGCCTCAACTGCATATAGCAGAGCTTGAACAGAAATCTTTAGACATAATGATAAAGTATTTTATATCATTTTAATTTAAAATACAGAATCCTGGGTAAATTCAACTCCAGTAATTAACTGTGATCAGAAATCTGTGCAAAGCAGGAGATTCTTGCACATTGCAGAATTAGTTCTGCCCGTTCCCCATCTGTTCAGGCACTAATGGCCATTTCTGTAAAATAGGCAACGTAATCCGTAGTAGCTGTTGAAATTATTCTCAGAATTTTTACTGAGTTTGCGTGTAAAAGAGGTATATTGGCCTGACAGGCTCAAAACTTTTTGTTATCCTTTTGGGAAGATTCCAGTTATCTGAACAAAGCTGCAAAACTAGAGACGTGCCCAGAGTTTATGTATTTCAGCGAACTGCATAAAATCGTGAATATCAGTTTTCTAATAATCACACAGTATATTTAAGGACTAGCTTACAGGAACCAAAATGTATGCATGGTCAATATATTTTAATCAACCATTTATACATATTTATTGAAGATTACATTTATAGTAAAATATGTGGAAAGAATTCTCAGGGTTAAACTTGCTACAGGAGTTGGCAGATAAACACATTTTTAAAGTTCCCTATTTCTGCATTGTTTTCCTTCTGCATTAGTTTTCTTCACATCGATATCTACATTTGTGCATCACGCATTTTGTGGCAGTCTTACGGGATGGGGAATTGGAAGAATGTTGAGGCTAAAATCCAGTCTTAGTTTTATGTCTATAAATGGATTTTCTTCTCACAGTTATGTTACAGTAATGTAACCGTTGCTTTTGGTAGAGTTATGTTGTGCAGCTGAGAGTGGACTGTAGATAACTGTGCTCAGTTAGCTGCATAAATATACCTGGAGACAGAATTTGGCCAAATGGCTTTCAGTGCAGTGGACTTAATGCAGCCTTTAGTTAGTTGTGGTCAGTTTGCTACTTGAGACTGTTCTGTGCAAGATCAACATGAATAAAGGAGGAGGAGCCTTGACGTTGTGCTACTACCATCTTTTCTCTTTCCAGGACTTCCACTCCCCCGACAGTACGGTGTTCAGTGTCAGTCCAGCCGGGGCACCACCTGGTGAGATGCTGAGCGCTGTGCCCTGCTGGGACCTGATGTCGGACAGCAGTCCCTTAGCGGCGGGGGCACCTCTTACTGAAAAACGCGTGCTGCTGAGTTTCAGTCCAGGTGGCAGCACTGGCAGTTGTGAGCTGTGGAGCCTACCAGCTGTCATTAAACAGGAATTTCCTAGACAGAGCGTGGCGGTGCCCACAGGGGTTCGTAGTGAAAGTGGATTTTGTACCAGGTACTGTATGCTGAACAGTCACAAATTGTTGCTATAAAGCCTCAGCTAGTAACAAACCATAAGAGATTAATGCAAAAGTCAGAGTAACACGTGCCCCCCATATGTAAAGGCAAGTCTTACTTTAATTTAAAAATTGTTATCTTTTGATGGTTTCGATGCTTTTATTATAAATGGTTTAATGTTATGACCGTGTACAAGTTGTACAATTTTTATAATGTATGAGCTGCTATTTTTTTACATGCATACAAAATAAGAGCATGGAAAGTTTATATTTGAGATTATAGTCTTTTTTAATTTGTGGGTAATAATTTAAGAGTTCAAGGATGGTGTGAAATAATACAATACAAAAATTTAGGGTTTTTTTATAAAAGGTAAAAATGTATTTTAGTAAGAATAATGAGGCTAAATAGAAAAAGCAAAAAAGGGATGAAACTATTTGGAGACTAGAACAAGGAAAGATTTCCAACTTTTAAAACTTGAAATATCCAAATGTGTACTCCACTTACAAACAAATGCATCCAGCTAGTTAAAAATAAAAGTCCAATTGTTTGATGCCCCACTTTAATTCTCAGACCTGATATCTGAATCTATTCATGCTTATGCTGGTATAAACATGAAACAATCTGCTGAAATTAGAGGTTTCATCAGTATATATTGCCAGCCATATGATCTTTCTCTTGCTTGAAGTGCTTGATCCCATTCAAACCCTCATACAGTTCCTCTGCAGAGTCTAATAGATGTCATTGTGGATACTAAAGATTCTCACACAGACTTCAGATAAAATAAAAAATAAAAATGCTAAGAACAAGGAAAGAATTCCTTATAATTCAGAGACAGGCATAGAAGACCTCATGTTCCTAATCAAATTTTCAGACTGTTTGGATTAAAATCACCATGAGGTGAAGTTTTTTAGAAATAGCCAATAAATTTGCACAAGAAAAAAAAAAAAGAATTTGTGTTTATGTGTGAAGGCATTTTATGTAGCTAATGAGTAGAAATAAATTAATCTATTTTCATTTTGGAAATTTATGTAGTGATGATCCATAACATTAACATTCAAAAGGGCAATGGCATTGTGGATCATTCCAGGGGAGCAGTCAGTTACAAGTTCACATATTTGTTAAAAATACCTTTCATGTGTGTCTCAGAAGTATGCATGCAAATTCTTCTGGAAAATTTTAAAGATTTATGTTGAAAATTTGGGCCTACAATCTCATGTTTTTAATTTAATATAAATCTCTGCTGGCTAGGGCTCTCATCTCGCAAACACACGTGCTCAATTTAACTGATGAGTAGTCTCTATGAAGTGATTTCTTCTCTAATGTTGATTTTTGTGCTATTTCCATGGGTTCCTCTGTTTAAATATAATACTCACTGGAGATGCGTGCTTGCCTAAATGTATATAAGTATCAGTGGAATTGGAGCTTGACCATAAAGAATCTTACAGATCCTAGTTTAGAATGTTTTTAATTGTCCAGAGTAATAACACGTAAAGATTTAATCCGAAACATGCATAATCAAATATATCTGCTTCTGTTTTAGAGCTGTAGCACTGACTTATCAAGAGCATCTTGGCGTGACGTACCTAACACTTACAGAAGATCCTAGTCCTCGTATAATTATCCACAATAGGTGCTCTGTTCCATTGCTTGTAAAAGAGAACTTCAAAGGTAGGTAGTATGCAGTAATGAAAAACAAGTGTGCTGTTCTAGAGTATATTATTTTACTGTATGTCTAATACAGACTTGAGTTCAGTATCGGTTTTGGTTACAACAAGAACTTGATGCCCTCATAAAGGTCTGTCTCAAAGTGAGAGGCTGGAAGGTGCTGAAGCCTGGAAGCGATTGGAGCTAATTGTGAGGTCAGCAGTATGAACTTATGTGGCTCCAGGTTTTTGGGTCTCCTGGGTTCCAGCTGTCAAGGTGACTTGGCTGTAGGAGACTAGTAGCCCGTGGAGTTTTGTTGACATCAGTTCAATCCCATGGAATGTTTAAATCTGCTCAGATGTGCAAATGTGACACAAAACATATTGCCAAAATTCCAGTTACCGTATGTTAATGTAATGATCAGTGGAACATTATTTATGTAAATCTTGATGACATAAAAAAGAAAAGGAAAAAAACCCAAACATAAAATTCCAACCAATAGAAAAGTAATGGTTTTATTTATTAGTAATATTTCAGAAAGAAACAGCCTCATTCGTGTAAGCATAGGTGAATTTTGATTTAGTACAGGTTTTAGAAAGCCCTAATCTTGTATATTTTATAAAATTTCAGATACACCAAAGTTTGAAGTTTATTGTCGAAAGATTCCAGCTCACTGTTCAGTTCATCATGAACTTTACCATCAAGTCTCCAGTTATCCAGATTGCAAAACAAGAGACTTCTTGCCCAGCATTCTTCTGAAAGTGGTGTCGTCAGATGAATTAGTAAATGAATGGAGTGATTTTGTGGACATCAACAATCAAGGAACACAAGTAAATCATTATGAACTATTTCCTAGTTCACAGCATGAATGGTTGTCTTTCTGACCTGCACAGTATATTGTTCTTCTGTAATAAGCATGTCCTTTCTGTTGGTTTGTTGTGTTTTGTTTTTTTTTTTTTATTTAAGACTTGGGAGTTCTCCTTCCTAAGCCCCTTTCTGTGGAAGTTTTAGAAAACAGTTTACCTTCTTCACTGGCTGTTCTTAAAAATAGTTAGATCAAAAATACAGGCTTTCTAGCGCTGAATTTTTTCACTTCTTTTTCGTCAACCTGGTGTTCCCTGGAAAAATCAGTCCTGAAAATTTCTGGCCCCTATAAGCAAAGAATCCCAGAGGATCCAGGAAAGTCCTTCAATTTGGTTACTTAATTATCACAGGAGTTTTATCTTTACATCTTGTGGGAATCATCACTGGCATTCTCCTTCTATGTCTTCACAGAAGCTACGCATGTCTTTCTAAAACAAAACAAAAGCTCCCTTTTCTTTCCTTCTGTTATTTTTCTCCTGTTTTGAGGTAAATGAAAACTTCCTTGACTGGAGTAATTCTTTTTGATGGGAATTTTTTCCATCTTTGAAGTCATTAGTTTACATGGAATCAACATAAACTGCTTGGCTCTTTGAAAGAAATACTAGTTTCAGATGTTTTCCCTGGGGACCAATCACAAAATGCTCTTGATTATTGAGTGTTATGTTATATAGCAAGTAGTTCAGTTTCATTCAGCAAGCCAGTCAAGCAATGCAAGGTTTCAAATTTCAGTCATTAATGTTATGCCAGACCAGGGTTCTTTATAAGTATCTGGCTCCTAGAAGGAATTAGATGCTAAGACAACATTTGGGGATCATTGTCTACTTGAAGAACTCCCCAAATAAAAAGTGTTATTGAATTTTTAGGGTTTACACGTAGAGAATTTCCCCAGGATTTCTCAGTCAGTCTTTCTCTTATAAAGCTATAAGTAACTAAGGAATATGCTGATAGCTTCACATACAACTTGGTTCAGATTGTGAAATAACTTGGATTTAGAGGATCTTAAGTAATTTGTACTCTTTCTACATAGTCACAGATAATTTTCTTTCTAATAGAATAAGAAGTGCCTTTATTTATTTACCAAAATTAAGGTATTTATCATCAGAATCATCTGAAATTGGAATTAAAGTGACCAATCTTTAAGATCAATAAGGGTTTTTTACAATAATGTGGGTGTATTGAAAATTCACTAAATGTCCCTTTTGTCTCCAATTCCATCATGCAGGATTGCAAATGTCTTTCAGACAAGCAAAGGATTAAAACTGGCATATTGAAATCAGAAATTCTCTTATATGTGATTCTCAGAAGAATAAGACATAATTTGATGAACAAAATTTAATTATGTGTACAAGGTTATTATAAATAGTCTAACGAGAATCAGTTTAAGTGCCGATCCTGCTAAACTTCCAAGTACTTTTCCTTCTGGTGACTTGTTAAGGGTAGTAAAGATTCTTCAAGACAAACAACTGTTTATTTTACCTGTGCTAGCCCATTATCTTTGTGTTATTCCTTGAGTTTGCATTCCTTTAAATTATAGCTTGTCATTACAGTCTAGTAAACAATTGTGTTGATAGTAGCGCTACAAAGAAACAGAAACCAGCTTGCTCTAACAAGGATTGCTGTTGAGTTTTCCAAATCTAAAAAGACCTTAATCTTTTATATTCTGGAAAACCACAAAATTTTAATAGAAATATTGTATAATTAGGGTCCAAAACCAATACATCATTTCTTAAGTGGAATAGTTATTCCTAAGGACAATTTGTTGAGAATGAAAGTTTGCATGTCTGTAAGCAAGACACAAACCTGTTGTCAAGTTCCCATTTTCCTGCCTTTTTAGACATTTTACACATTTCACGAGACTTTCACTATTTCTTTGTGGCAGCAACTTCCTTGTGAAGGTGTTCTCACCAAACCAGTTTAGATGGCTTAAAAATGTGTTCAGTGTTGAGTTGTTAAGCAAGTCTTCATGAATCCAAAATGTAACTTGGTTTTTAGTCTTCATGTGTTTTGGGTCATGCTATCAGCCATTCATCTAACCAGCTCTGAGCTAGGGCATAGCAACATAAGGTTAATTTAGGGTTTGTTTTCCAGAGGAGAAGGTGGGATTTTGCAGAGCTCCGGGAATATGCCTTTCTCCTTAATCCAAAATCACAAATTAATATTTCCTATTTATTCTTTTCTCATATAACTTCCTCCCCAGCACATCTTGCATATTTCTGGAGAAGAAGATTCTTATTAAAACGTATTCAGTTATACAGGTGCAAATTTCATCTTGCTGTATTTTCTGAAGTATTGAAATCTCTTTCTGTTTTCCTGAGGAGTGTCATGATTCGAGTAAAAAATCTCAGCCAGAAGGCATTAATAGGGTTGATTCAAATTATGACATTAAAAATAGTAATTTCAGTAGCATTCCATATGTTTCTAACTCTCTCCACTAGATTGTGTTCTTAACTGGCTTCGGCTATGTTTATGTGGACATTGCCCA